CCTATCCCCACCTCGGAGGACTCGCGATGTCCTGGCTGTCAGCCGGCCTCCTAGCACCGTCTCCGGTTATCTTACCACAGTACCAGTTGCAAAAGAAGATCTGATATGTCCTGATCTCTAGCGATACAGGATGCGATTTGTTTACTTTTTTCGTATAGTGATTTAACTCAAATATTTTAGTGATTAAGATGACTCTACGTGATCTGTGATTTTTATTCCCTGTGCAAGTGATTTTTAATTTAATTAAATTAGCTTTAATATATTTTGTGATAAAACTGGTATTTTTCATTTTACAAAAATGATTATTTGTATTTCTGGATTTGTTATAGGGAACAGGTAAATTTATATTCAACATTTTTTATGATTTATTTTTGTTTTATTATTGTTATTTATAATTTATATTACTATTATTTTGTTTGCTATTGAATAATACTCTTCTTTAGTCGCAATAATTTTTTTAAAAATAAAAAAAAAATGATTTTAATTTTTAAATAATATAAAGATTATGGACTCTACATTGTCATTAAGTAAATGCATCAAGAAATAATTTTCAAATAAAAATACTATTTTAACGTTAATATCTATATATTTATAAAATCAGAGGTGCCTGGTATGAGAGATTATGAAAAACAGTTTTCATATTTTATATATACATTTCATTTCACTATAATATCTATTTCATTAATATAATATCTATTATAATTAAATAATCTCTATCTTTATATATAACTCTTCAGTCTTCTTTGTCTTCAATTTCCTTATAGTATTTCTTTATTTTTCTTAATTCTTAAACTTCATTTTATTTTGATATTGTACAATACTATCTACTTGAATTAAAAAAAAACGTACTGATATTTATTCTATTTTTAATGGTAAATAACCCATATTTATTGTTTACTGTTGGCTATTTAAATTTCGTCGATTTCACTTACTTCTCAAACATTGATTGTTTTAAATTATCTTCTATATTCTATTTTTTTTATAAATTGCAAAATGTATTTGAATACAAGGTTTAGAAGGACATATTCGGTGGAAATTTGCACTGATTACTGTTTTATGTATAAATATGTTTCACGCATATTTCCATTGTTTGTTTTTTTCTGTTCAATTTGGTTATGTTAAAAAAAAAGTTTAATATTGCTTTTACTATTTCACAGTAAAGTTATTAAGCTTTATAGCTCTGGCTAAATGTTTCATTAAAAGGAGGACTATAAATAAAATAACACAAATATTACAGATTATAGCTGCTAACATTGATTTAACTCTAACAAGTTAGAAAAAATAATAATAATATTTCCTTTAATTAAATTTACATTATTTAAAAAATATTGATCAAACAGAATATGCGTATATGAATATGAATATATATTATATATTCATCTATATAAAGATTAGACCGAAATTTTTAGAAAATAAAAATACATGTATTGATGTTTTTCATCTACTTTTAATCGCTTTGCTGTATTCAGAGCAGCATTGTATAAAACCTGGACTTATTGAAAGTATTGTAAGCATTTACTACAGAGCCGAATTTTATCTCAGGTTTAGTTTATATTGAATTGGGTTTTAAATAATTGTGACATAACATTGTTGCCGTTCCTAAAATATAACTTTCTAAGAAAATATATATTGTTATAGTAATGTAAATTTAACAGTTCGCTGTAAAACATTACGTTCTACGTTAAATTATACTGTATTATATTTTGGAATGTTGTTTCGCTCAATTTTTTCATTTCACTTTTATCCGCTAAAGATAGCAGTTAGCAATGGTTTGATTTATTTTTTGGTCTAAATAAATTCAAAATATTGATACTCGTTTAAAACTTTTCTTTATTACATTAGCTTAATTAGTGATTATTTGATAATTCAAACAGATAATTCCGGAATAGTCAAAATACAAAATCTATATATATATATATATATACATACATACATATACTGATTCACAGGGATGACAGATCTATAAAATTACTACTTGGTCAACGATGTAACATATGTATATGACAGTTTGTCATAAGGCAATGTTTTTACACATGCATTTAATCGTAATGTCATTTTAAAGATTGTACTATCATGGTTTATTTTAATATTAAAAGGAGCTTTTTCTCCACTCGTAATGATTTGAAGTCTCTATATAATTTATATCGCTGATACAGTTTATTTACCTTAATGTCAAAATTGTCCATGAGTACGCACCCTTTGCTCTGTCCTCTGTACTCTGTCATGGTTGTACCTGCGCCACGCTCGAACGCCGAATCCGAGCCCCGACCTTCCTAGCCTCGAACTCTCGAACGCCAGGTGCAACTCCCGAAAGATATTTAGCATCGCAACATCTGCCGAGGAAAACAGCCTGCATCTTGCGATGCATTCTGATTTCACGAAAAAAATATCAAAAGATTGTCTACGTTTATGTATTTTTATGTATATATGTAAGCACATATACGTGCGTATAAAATAAGGCACAAAGGTTTGCTCGTAAATTGTAAAGAATTATAATAAGGTAAAATGTAGACAGGAATGGCGTGTTTTGGATTGAATTTTGTTTTTACGTTTTTTTGTGGTATTTCGTATTATTCCTCGGTCGTGAAGTATTCGTGTACAGTATCTTTTTTATTATTAAAAAAAATCTTGTCTACTTCATGTATCCACTTTATTGCCATAAGATTTTAGTACGTTTTAAATTTGTTCCATTCCCTTTATTTGTTTTTATTGACAGTTGTTATTAGGATTGAAATTTAATGACAGTTGCTATGTAAAGATATGTGTTAATTTTGATGTTGAGATATATGTAATGATTACAGCCTGTTCGAAGACACAGTTATCTTTCAAAAATATTTTGTATTTTACTTCGTTACACTGCTCTTCGGTATTTTTTAATTTACGTAAAACAATTTTTTGTCAATGACAAGTTGGTGGATAAATGTTACTGCCATATGCCTGGTGCACATTATTGATGCAAGACATCAATGTTTAATATTCATTAATAATGACATAAAAGTTTATGTCAAAACGTTTAGAAAATTATAGATTAATTCATTAATCTTTATTTTTAATTGATACAACAGAATGTTGAAATGTTGACAAAATAAATATATTTTGTCAACATTTCGGAACTAAATAGATTTTTAAATTTTTTATCAAAAGTAGTTATACAATATTTATTAGAAAATTGCAATATTTTTGTTAATAATACCAGTGTAAGATTACTATTGATACGACATTATTGGTTTATTAGCATTTCGGTGGGGGTTCCCCTTTATATTCAATTCTACCTTTACTATAATTTCATTTCCATTTTTTCCAATCTATGAAATTTGAGGGAATATTGGCTGTGTAATTATTGATAAATAATTCTCTGATGTACAAAACATGTTTATGTTTCGAGAGAATCGAGAAGTATTGGTTTCTCATCTGTTTGTTTTCCGTTTAAAAAAATAAAGCATTCTTTATGTGTATCAAATAATACAGATTATCTGTAAAATATTTAAACAATCAGGTGACACTGTCATACTAGACCTAATTCTAAAATAAAGTAACTAAATACTAATTCTAGAAATTCTTAATATCCAAATAGTTTTCGAGGCAAATTAATTTTAAACCTATTGATCATGATTGCTGTTAGCTTTTATTGTTTGTAGGGCTACGCCATCTTTAGACATTAACATTATATTTTTAACTATCTCGTTTAATACAAAGTAATACTAAACCGTAATATAAAATAAGTTCCGGAGAACGTACAAAATGTAAGATAAGTTTGTGGGACGGGCTATAAGAATTTTCTAAGCAGATATCAAGAACTGGAGCACATAATTCTACTAAAAACGTGGTCATTTGATATATTCGTATAATTATTAATTTTACTAATACTTGTTTGCAAGCTGCAAAATGACAGAAATTATCTCATTAAATATTATTATGTTTCTATCTATGTGCGATTGAATTTTAAACCTATTAATTTTATTTTTTAGTTATTAAGCTGGATTAGGTTAATAGAAAAATCTTTTTTGCACATATAATTGTTTATGTAGTGTTCGGAAAATTCGATCGAAGTGTGAAATGTTATAAGTTGTATTTGGAAATCTAGAAGATTATCTAGATCTTCGGACATCTAGTGTAATATGTATTTATGATTAAATTAGTGTAGATCTTACGAAAATCGTTACCACAGTGATATGCATCATTTTCATGAAAGCATAATAAATCGGATACGTTTGCAAAGTTTTTTTTTTGGACCTCTTATCCTCTTGACCTGTGCAATTAATGGATAACCTCATATAATTATTCGAATTGCGGTTCTACGAATTGAGCTTTGTGTATAATAAATTGTCATTTATATTTTTTTTCAATAATTCCTAATATATTGAATTAACAAGATATTTTTTTAGTGTAATGTAACTGTAGTAAATAATGAATAAAACGAACTAATTTTATTAATTTTAGATGTCTATTAATATACTTGTATTTTTAGTTATATATAGTTAAATTAAGAATAAAAACATATTTATTTGTGATTAATAGACAAAGGACAAAGATATGTATATTTATTATTTGTTAATATAACGTTAATAATATTAAATATAATAACTATATGATGAGTGCAGTTTTTGTTTCAATCTAACTAGTGGTAACTTCAAAGCAAATTGCTAGAACATTATACATTGTGAACAAATATTTGAGTAAATCAATATTTTCATTTTCGAAGATCTATCTGTCAATATGAATTTGAACCTCTTCATACAAACATACATATTTTACGAGAACTAAAGATCTTCGTTAATAATTTAATATCAATTCTAAAAATAACAGCATAATTTATAAGATATAAATTTAAATCAGTAATATATTCAGGCCATACATTCACTACAGTCAATTTGATACCATGTATAATATCACTAATTGATCTACAATCAAATTGTAGTTGTCTAATCGATGCTAGACATTTATAGCTCTAATCGATTTTATTGTTATAAAATATCTTATGGGTTGTATTTATTTTTCAGTTCCCCGCAAACATGTATTTCGTCGAACCTATACGATAATATGGAAGAAAATGACTATTGCGTCAGGAGCATATCCCTGTCGTCCTGCGAGAATGTGAATAATCAGCAGTTTGACATGTGTCATCAGTACTGTGACGGAGACGACAAGAACACATCGTACCAAGAACAGCTTGAGAACGACATCAGTTCCTGCACTTCGCAACCTGATTCCGTTTTGTTGGACAACATGCCTCTGCACGATTATAGCAATAACAGTACGAACCCCATGACCGGACTCTGCCATAATGTCTCAAAGAGCCAAATTCTCTACAAGAAGTCTTCCATTTATAATTCCGACGGAATGAAGAGGAGCCGCATTTTGAACGCGTAAGTATAGCAATAACATTTTATTATTTTTAGTATTATGAATGAAAATATATTGATTGAATTATCAGAATAAGTTTAGCGACGCAGTCTTTATTTCATCCTAATTTATTGCCAAATAGCTGAAAACATTATTGCACTCCAAGGTCATATCATGACGAAGACATAATTGAAAATCGGATTTTCCAAACTAGCATTTATTAATATCAGTATTTCTGATCACTTTAATTTCTGACTGCACCTGGTCGTATTATATATATATATATATATATATATATATATATATATATATATGTGTGTGTGTGTATATATATATATATATATATATATCTGTGTGTGTACGTGAATATAACATAATTACAAGTGTTGCACATTATTACTTATTGTGGCCTTGGGCCTACCGCTCTGGTGCATTTTGCATTCAGAAACCCGACAATCTAGTAGGAAGAACCCACCTAACATCGACTTTCACTCATCTGTTACTTGAAATTGAAATACATACATCTATGGAAAAACACACCTATATTCATTAGAATTTTGTTGTCTACCATAAACTTTATTGAATTCAACCGTAAAAAATATTTCAAGATTTTCACTTTACTTCACATAATTTTGAATATTTCTGCACAGTTTTAAAACTGTAAGGGATATATTTTGCAACACATGAATATGGTATATAAATGTATGAAATAAAAAATTAATAAAATATAAAACCGTGTTTCCATACAGATTTGGCCCTAACCTATTGTTTAACGATTTACATGTAATTTTATAGGACTTTTTGAGAAATCGTTCATAGTCAAAGTAGCCCTTTTTTTCAATCTACCCTTATTGAAAAAAAAATACTTTTTAGTACTTGAAAAAGTGAAAATAGTTTCAAAAAACAATATTCCTGAAGTGACATGTATTAATTGAATATAACTAGATTTTTACTAAAATAAAAAAAATTATCATGAAAATTACACATTTTTTACAATTCCGTTCTGAACATGCTCTTAGCTCATTTGTTCTAGAATTTTGTCAAAGGCCGTAAGTTTTATTGAATTTGTCGTGAAAAATTATTTGATAATATTGACAACCACCACACATAATTAAGAAATACAAGAAGTTGTTAATATTCATTATGATATTCATTTATTTATTTATTAAGTGAATATAGAAGCTTTTTTATTTTTATTTTAAATTCTTTCTATTTCTCAGGTGCACATTGAATAATATCACTTTTGATTTCATACCTTCTACAAGGTGATATCATACAATATTTTTCAGATAAGATATATCACATATCATAAAGTATTTAAATAATCATCGCAACAAAAAGAAAAACATTTCAACTGTTGATTAATCATTATTTTCATTTGTCACATCTCGATTATTTTGGTTTTTTGAAATATATGTCCATCGTTACCTATATTAAATTTTAGCCGTCTGAAAATAATATATAAGATTCGAAATTAATTAATATACTAATGAAAAGGAATAGTATGAAATTTTAACAAAGATAAGTGTCATATTTTAAGTGTATTGTTATAAAATTCACAGTGATGTTTCATCGGATTCATCATTTTTTACTTATAAAAATTATATGTATTTATCAATTGTTTAATGGGAGAGAGATATAAAATTGGTGGCACACCACAAATGATTTTTACTACCAATTGCTGTCGTACAAAATTTCAAACTGGTCAGATATTTCTTCAAAGACTATCCAGTATTATGTGCACGACAAAAAATCTACTTTCTTAGAGTTCGTTTAATATATATATATATACACACACACACATATATATATATATACATGTATATATATATATATATAATTGCCTTTAATATAATAGAATTGTTTTTTGTTTTGCATTTTAAAATTTTCATGTAAATATATATAATTTAAATATATGTTTTAATATCATTTAATCAATCTATATGTATACATAAATAATAATTATGATAAAACTTTACGGTTTTGCTCATGTCAATTTGAACAAAGTTGCTGCCAAAATATTGAGTACATTATCTCTAGAAGACCGGTTTATCTAATAACATAAAGATAATCTTGTGGTACATGGCATCGTGCCTTATGGCAATTGCTGGAATTTTAAATGTTTTCAAATAGATTATTATAAATACTGTAGCTTTCATTATTTGTATGTTATAGACAAAATATAAGAGCATATAAATGAGACAACGACGTTTATATATGTTTTCATAAAAAGTATATAAACAAAACTTAATCAAGAGTAGTCAGAATATATAAACTACATTGTAAAAATAAAATTATTTATTTTGAGTATATAAGTGAGCTTTAGAATTTTAACAAGATTTAAAATTAAAATCGGAATCATTTTCGTCATTTAAAAAAAAAATCGGAAATATTTTTTTTTTAATTTTGAAATTAAATAAGGAATTTATCTTCCCCAAAAACTAATCCTTACTTTACACTCACAACACAAGCAAAATGTCTGTTGATTTTTTCGAATTGGTTGCTCCATTTTCTTAAAATCTGTGGTTTTTAGCACTTTTTGCTCTATATCTTAACCAAACGGATAGACCTGTTTTTGCCAAAAACTAACCAGCCCGTCACGCCGTCAACACAAATAGATTATACATATTTTGAATTTATATATGGATTTATAATTTATAATTGGATGCTCTGTTCTTGCAAAAATCGATTTCCCATTTTTTGCCTTTTCTGCTCCGTATCTCCGAAGCGGCTGGACCTGTCTTTGCCAAAAACTAATTAGCATAACACTCTATCAATAGGAATCGAATGTTTTTTGAATAATTCAAATCGATTGATCTGTGCGCCCGAAATCGTGGACGAAGAATTGTATCCATACATACGCGGGCACACATATACACACAGCATATATCTATTGTTTCAGGTATGCTAAAATTCTCAAAAACTTTTGAAACGTAAAGATATGTAAACATTTTCAATTTTAGTCGATTACTATAACTTACCCTACGGGAAGTAGGCCGCAAATATTTTCAAATAATGGAAAAAATTTCTATAATAAAATAGTGATTGCGAACTGAAATTAAAACGTGTTCGTAGAACTTTGCAATAGCCATCCTTTTCTGGTACTTGATTTATTGTATTATTAAAATCGAATAAATTAGCGACAATGTATACCATTGGCACGTGCCATACCATATTTTATGCTGAGGTACCCGTTTCTTTTTTTAGAATCTTGACTGTTTAATATAATTGCGTGATTCAATTACAGTTATTAAAATTCTCCATAATCCTTTTATATCCGACGGAAGTAGGGCGAGGCCAGCAAGTATTTCGGATGAGTAACGAGCCGTCACTGAAACATGTCAACGAGAAACGAGACTCATGTTTATGTTTTGCTTTTGTGTCCGACTCATAAATGATTGTTTGTTAATTGACATTTATTCATTATACTATGATTTTTTTAAGACTGCGAGTAATACAAACACACACCATAAATAGTACGGCTGGACGATATAGAGATCTGTGGTGTTCATAGTTTTAATCTAATTTTTATAATTCATTTAACTTTTAGGTTTTTGAATAAATAATTCATTGCTAATTTGCAGAATTAAATGAGCATCAACGAATAATGTTGGTGGAGGCTTTAATGTTTAAAAAATATTTCTTATGTAGAAGTATTAGATATACAAAATAGTTAAACTTGAGAACAATGGACATTTCCAGAAATAAATGAAAACATTAACACATAGTTCATTTCATTGATAGGAAGTTGATGTATGATGTATCCGCACTTTTTGTCAATATTGACATTGATGTAGTTAAATAAAGTTTGAAACTATACCGATTAATTTTTGCAGTATTGTGGAAAGAGGAAACGAATGAATTGACAATATTTTTCATAATTATTTTACACGTAATTGGTTCAATAGTGAGTTTTAGCATCATGACATGACAATGTTTATAAAATGAGCTTTCAAATACGAACGTCATTAATAAACTTATATCTTTTATGTTGTTTATGTAAACAAAATTTATACTTATTGTTAAAATCTCTATAAAATATCTGGTAATTTGATGTGCATATGCCTAATGATCATTTTTGACCGCCAAATGGCATTTTTTTTTACTTTTTTCATTAGATCTCCGAAACCGCTTCAGTTCAGTCAGTTCTTCATCTTGTCAATCAAGTAAAATGTTTTTTGAATTATTAAAATCGGACGCTCCGTTCTATTAAAAAATGAGTTACCATTTTTGGCACTTTTTGCCCCGTATCTTCGGATTGGCTAGACCTGCCTTCGCCAAAAACTAATCAGCATGTCACCTTGTCAATACGAATCGAATGCTTTTTGAATTATTCAAATCGGTTGATCGGTGTTCCCGAATCGTCGACGAAATCCGCATACACACACACACATACATCCATTTTTTCTAAGGTATGCCAAAATATTCAGAAACCTTTGAAACGTAAAGATATATAAAAATTTTCATTTTCGATTTTTTTGCGATTACTATAACTCGTTCTATCGTTCATTATATGTTAATCGATGTAACAATCTATTTAGCCTTCATTTGCAGAATCATATTATTCTCGAAGAAAATTATTATGCAAATTATAAATTATAAAACCAAGATATTTTGAATTGATATAATGAGTAATTAATAACAAAAATTATGCTTTGTGTCAAAGTTCCTATGTCCTCCTATCCTGATGATGATCATGATGTTACCCACATTATATTTCCATCGCACATGTGCGTTCTTTAAAACCGTAAATTTAAACATCAATTTTAATTAAATATTTATGCAAAATTGAGAGCATTCTATAGAAACAATTTTTGACAAATGCTAAATTATTTTCATTGTTGTATTTTCAACCAATTTCTTAGTTGTCTTAAGGCGCAAATATTGCTCTGAAAAAACGCTTGCATTACTCGTTACATGTGCACCCTGATCTCTATTTTCCAGCGTTCTGTATTTCTATAATTTACTATTCAAATTTTAATTCGTAAAGTATCTATTTCATAAATTGTCGCCATATGCCATTCACTTCTTACATTGTGTACACACTCTATAAGTTGTTTATTATTCGTTCCGATGCGAAACGATCAGAAATACATTACATCACATACATTTGACCACTCACTGGGTTGGTTATATAAGAAGTAATATTAATGCGATGCACTTTAATCTTCGTGTAATACAATATTAAACTTCCCATATTTATAAGAATGTGTTACATGATTAATGAAGCATTTGAAAATCCGATAATAAAGCATTGGTTTAGTATACTCGTCCAAACTGTAAATGGCTTTGTTTATTAATGTTTTATATATAGCAGATTTATTTTTCTGATATCAAACAGTAATGGCACCAGTTTTACTTGAAAATATGATTGCAAGCGAAATAGCCTTTAGGGGCATTGCTGCAATATCATAATTAGAATGTCTTATGAAAATAATTGTATTGCTTTCTGATAAAGTTTATAAAACTGATAATTCTAGAAAAAAACTTCTAGTTCTCATTGCTATTCAACAAAACAAAACTTGTATATTTACTTCTGCTTATATATTGCATATTTTACTTTTTATTACACATTACATATTTATTTTTATTATATATTTCAAGTTATTTTGCGTACTTTTCGCGAAAGTAAGTCTAAACTACAATTCGAACATGAAGGATTTGCTCTGCTTTCTTTCTGCAGCAAATATTTTTCTATTTACATTGATATAATATATATGATTTTGTGATACTTGCTTCTACTGATATAGTTAATATATTTGATTCTATGATATACTGAAATTGGTTAAAACTAAAACTAATAATTGCTTGATTGACGACAAGAATTTACATTTACTTGTATCCTTTAGTCTTTCTCTGATGTTTTGGTCTTTCTGACCTACGAGAGTCAGAATTAAAATTACTAGATTTAAACTTTTAAATCCGCATCTGGTATTTACAAGTGTTTGGTGAATATTATAATTATAAACATTATTTTTAACAATTTTGTGTAACTAAAAATAATGGAATACTGAGATATATTTCGTTAAATATTTCATTCAACATGAATTAAAATTAAATCTATTGATATGTGTGTGCGCGCACGTGCTTTTATGCAATTTTAACAAAAATATCAGTATGTGTGAACGATATCATTGAAATTATTTTACAATGACAATGTTGATGATATGGTTTCAGAAGTTATCAAAATTCTTTATTTTAGGTATGAATTATCGCAATATTTATTGGATAAACAAATTGAACTTCTGGAAAGAAAATATGGAGGCGATAAGGCCCGCAATGCTGCTCTGGTTATACAGAGGTATGTTTTAGGATATTATATTTTTTTTAATTATATGGTTAATACATATTTTTATTACTTTTCAGAGCTTTCCGTAGATATACACTTATTAAAAAATTTACATACATCACGACTATGGCGCAACAAGATAAAAAGTATGCGGATCAAAAGAAGTATGCAGTTTAATGTTGATACATTTTAATTATTTGCGAACATTTTTTTATTTGTTTTTGTTTTTTCAGCGTTCAAAGATTACCTAGTAGATCTATGTCATTAAGAGAAAGCAATAGGACTTATATAGTTAAAAATAATCACTTAGATTCAAGTGCAGATATGAATTCAAGTTTAGAAATTTCCAACAATTCATCACATCCGCATGTAAATATCCTGCATTACGAATATGACCTTTACGTAAGTATCAATTAAAATATTGTGTTGTTTTTAACGACTAATTAAAGAAATGATAAGAATATCAATTAAATTAAACAACTTTTTGTATGAGACACTAAATATCATTCCCAGTAGATAAGAAATGCTATAATTTTAGCAATAAATTATTTGAATTCTTGATCCGATGCTCGGCGTTTTATATTTTACAATTATTTTTAGCACGTAGCATTTTTATAATTACACTCTGATCATTATTCATTGCTCACTCAAGAAAGTGACTTTACGATTTCAATGATAATTTTAAGACCCTTGATTTATCTTTAGGACCAAAAGCTTAAGTGTCTCATTTTTTATCACTAATTATTAATTATCCTATATTTTACCAGATGCGCGGCGAACTGAGTGGCTCTCGCAAGAAAATACCTCCGGAGGTTCCAAAACGCACCTCATCAATTTCGAATCGATCATGCAAACCGCATATGTTAGACGGACGACATCAGGGCTACGATCAGATGCACAGCAACTACGACCAGCATCAGACCAGCCCCGGTTCCGTACTCAGTCGGTCGGCATATTCCGACAACGTGCAAATGATGAGACCAACGCTCAGCGAGAATTCTCTGGTTAGAACTAATGCAGGAGAAATGCAATTGCAACAGCAAAACTGTTTGGATCCCAATGGTAGAACGGGATACAGTCATGGTCCACAAATCAACATGAGCAATCTGTGCGAGTACACTCAATATAGGCCGAACTATATAGAAAACGGGTCAGTCTGCAGCGTTCAGTCATCCGGAAGTGATAACTCAATACACTATGAAAATTATGAAAGGTGAGTTATTAAATTAAAGAAATAATAAAAGATAAATAAATATTATTTTTGTTGGTATTAGCATTTTGATACTGTTTTTAATCTATAAACTTTCTCATTTTTTAGAGGTTCTTCATCTCCTGTTTGGAAAAAAATAGAGCAAGTATCAACAAATGACTACAATATTCAACCCGGTAACTATCAGATTATCTATGAACTGATTAAATATATATATTTTATTACCAATATTTACTGACTTTATCCTTATTGTAGCTATAACTGTTAATGCAGCACCAAGTACACAAAACTATAAAACTAATGAAACTATTCGCAAGAGACAATATAGAGTTGGATTAAATCTATTTAATAAAAAACCTGATAAAGGCATTCAATACCTTATTCAAAAGCAGTTTTTAGAAAATTCTTCATATGCAATTGCCAAGTTTTTGATCACTCGCAAAGGACTAAGCAAAAAGATCATAGGAGAATTTTTAGGAGATCTGCAAAATCCTCTAAGTCAAAAAGTTTTGATAGACTTTTCAAACCATTTAGATTTTACTAATATGGAATTGGATAATGCCTTACGAAGGTTTATGAGTTTCTTCAGAATACCAGGAGAAGCTCAAAAAATAGAAAAAATTATTGAAGTCTTTAGTAAACGATACATAGCTTGCAATTTGGATTTAGTGAATAAATTTCAAAATGCCGATACTATATTTATTTTGAGTTTTGCCATAATAATGCTGAACACTGATCTGCACACACCTAATTTGAAGCCTGAGAAGCGAATGAAGCTTGAAGATTTTATTAAGAATTTAAGAAATATTGATAATGGAAGGAATATAGATCGAAATATGTTAACTGGAATATATGAGCGAGTAAAAGCTAATGAATTCAAATGCAGTTCAGATCATGTTACACAGGTGAGATTTTTTTAAATGTATTTAGGGTTTAGTGAGTGTTCCCATTATTTTTTTTTTTTTGAGCTATTTGTAATATGTTAACATAGTTGACTTTATTTTCATAAAAAAAATTATTTGCAGGTGATGAAAGTTCAACAAACAATAGTAGGAAATAAACCTAATTTAGCACTCAGCCATCGCAGATTAGTTTGTTATTGTCGCTTGTATGAAATTCCTGATCTGAATAAAAAAGAACGTATTGGAGTAAGTGAAATAAAAAATTAATATTATTATATTGGATTTAATATTGAACTTATAATAATTAATTGTATTTTTTAGGTACACCAAAGAGAAGTTTTCTTATTTAATGATCTACTAGTAATTACTAAAATTCTTTCCAAGAAAAAGAATTGTGTTTCCTATACATTTAGAAATAGTTTACCTTTAAGTGGTATCAATGTTTCGTTATTTGAAACAATTCGTAAGTTCAATTTTTTTTTTTTTTATCTGATATTTGATAGTAATGTTTCTAGGTTATTGACACTTGTGTCTTGTAATGACACATTTATATTCATGTCTCACTAGAGACTATATACTATTCACTTGCAAATATAATAAACTATTTTAATCATTTTAATTGTCTTTATTTACATAATATTTTTTTTTTAGATTACCCATTTGGAATAAAACTAACGCAGCGAGTTGATGGAAAAGTTTTAATAATTTTTAATGCTCGCAATGAGCATGATAGAATAAAATTTGCTGATGATTTGAAAGAATCTATATTAGAAATGAATGAAATGGAAAATATAAGAATTGAAAACGAACTAGAAAGACAAAAAAGAAGCAATCGTAATGGTAAGCATGATTATATATTATTGTATATTTGAAATAGTTAGATATATGTGGTAATGGGTTTAAGGGGGTTGTTTGATTTGTAAGCAGTATTTTAACACAATTAACATTAAATTTTCGTAAAGCAATCAAAATAGTTATGAATGAATATACACAAGAACAAGGCACATTTTTTTTGTAAAATTGTATATCAATATTTTGTAGCTTTTAATAGAGTTGATTAACATTTTAATTTATCTAGTTATAATAAAATACTCCTACCTTTGACAGTATTTTGAATGTTTTGGATATATTTGAAAACTATCTTTATTGGTCTTGATAAATATAGATTTTAGCATTGCAAAATTGGTTCAGAACTTGGTACTCTAACATAGTCCTAATTTACAAGGAATAAGTAAAATGCATATATACACCTAAGTCTGTTTTTACACGGTCTTTTTGTACACGGTTTTGATATAACACGGTTTGAAAATTGAATATTTTTAATTTTTTTACACGAAGTTTTTCCATTTAGCACGATTTGAAATTTTATGTACCTAAATTTTTTTTGTCAAATTAAATTTTTGCGAAGTATGTTCATATCACAAAAAAGTATTTATGAAAGAAAAAAGTCTGAAACCATCGATAGTATCGATAGTTTGCGAACACTAGCTTAAAGATTTAAGTGAATTCCCCTTTAGCGCGTACAAACAATTTTTACTGGTCAAAGCAAATGTGAATAGCACTAATTTAATTCTTGTTCTTAAAAATTTTTGTTTTTCACCAATTTTAATAGGTTTTAGAGATTAGGAACAAATCACCTCTTTTTGTATAAGATCAATGTCTTTTTTTACACGTTTTTTTTTTACACGGATTCTTCTGGAACCAATCTCCGTGTAAAAACAGACTTAGGTGTAATTTATATCACATTTGATTAAAAGTTGTTTATGAAATGTTGCAAACTAAGTTGAATTTAGTAAAACCATAGTGTTACTATGTTGACACTGATATAAATCACAATGAAAAACTTAACAAAATATGAATGGGCATATATTATCTTATGATACCGGCAAATAGTTTAAGATAATAAATTTCGAGTTTTGTCTAGTATTTCGAATACTTTCAAAGTGAAAGGCTGTAAACAACAAATATTATTCTTTCTTCTTTCAAAAAAAAAGTATCAAATAAAATATGATATCATACAAAGAAAATTTAATGAATATGTAAAATATGTCAAGAATAGAGTCAAATATTTAATTTTATATGGGGATTTGAATTTTCAGGAACTGAACCAAATCGTGACAGTGGTGTTGCAGATTTGTGCAACTGCCAAACAAACGTTGGCCATAATCATGCTGCGTGTAATTGTCAGCCAGTCGTTATGACCAATTCCAATAATACAAATCAATTTGGGAACAATTTAGTTTATAATGACCAACAGCTCAAGAGATCTGCTCTAAGCAACTCTCTCTTAGATATGCATGAACAATGTTAGTATAAACTTATTAGTCAATTTAATTATTTAACCCAATAATGAATTTATGGACTAAAATTACGGAAAAACAGGTTTTTACACATTTTTTTTGTGTATCTCAATTCAAAATGTAATTTTTCATCTATATGGAATCCAGACAAAATTTATAAGGGTATATCAAAATTTATTATAAAATGGGAACAAAATTTATGTATAATATTCTCTACATATAATTGACTCTTAAATTATACACTATTTTATATCAAAACATATTTATGCTGTGGTTGTTTAAACAAATTATAAACAAAAAATATATAATTTGCAAATTGAAAATATACATAAAACTCTATTAATTCAGAAACTAACTGATTTTTTTTTGTTACAATTTTTGTCTCTAGAATTTCAAAATTATAGTGTATAGGTATACAAAATTATAGAATGGTTTAAGTTCGGATAACAATTTTAACATGTGGCAAAAAACCTGTTTCTCTGTAATTATTCAGTTTTTTTTTAAATTTTATTATTCTCTGAACTATTCTATTTTATTTATTATAATTAACTACAATTTGTTGTAGAACCAATTCAACAATATTTATTAAAATAATATACCAACAAATCTACCTTCAATTAAAATAATTTTAATAGTTGATAATTACTAATGTCATTTATTGTATATGAGATAAAGGTTGTAGATTAATTTGATTGAAATAATTTAATAACAAAAATTAACACTATCTAGTCAATATAGAGTTGTGCATGACGATAATGTTCAATATATACTGTTCAATATATCTTAACATTTTGTGCCATTTTTTTATGCTGAAAACAAATACAGTGGTATCCCAACATATAAAAACAGAATTAATTACCTGTATCCCGACATACAGAAACAGAATTAATTTCCTGTATGATTGCTATACACTAATACTTTTTCACTAAAAAATATTTGATCAAAAAAAGTGATTTTATAAATTTCTTTTCAGGCGAAGAAAGAAATTTTGTGATTCAAGATTTCTTTAAATTATGTCTTAAAATTGTGCCAACAAACTCAAAAAAGACATAATTTAAAGAAACCTTGAATTACAAGATTTGTTTCTTTGTCTGAAAAGGAATTTATAAAATGCAGATCATCAAGATCTTATCAAGATCATGTTTCTTGACAGATGTCCTGAAGATGAAACATAGCTAGTTCCGAAACGTTGACAGTAAATAAATAAAATAATGTTTTTTTAAAAAAACTTGTTTGTTTTCTTATTCTTTTTTGGATTCTTTGTTTGAAGCTCTACAAAACATTCACAAATCCAAGGCTCTACCATCTAACATATATATATACTAACATATATATATATATATATATATATATATATATATATATGTATATATATATATGTATATATATGTGTGTGTGTGTGAATCATTTATATATTTATTACATTTTTAATTACTTTCCAGTCAATGACTCCCACAAGCAAAGGAGAGGTTCAGTGGGTTCTCTCGATAGTGGCATGTCGCTCTCCTTCACAAACAACTCTCACAGGCAGCAGCATCAGCAACATCAACAGAATGTTATGTACAATGTGATTCCTCAGCAACCCACAAGCATGCTGCAACAACAAATGTTGCATACAATGCAAACTTTACCATTAATAAATCTGGCCACCGCTCAACATTCGAACAAATCTATGCAGCATTTCCAATACAATGGACCTGCAGATAATCAACAGAAGAGGGAGAGAAAATCGTCACGCACAACTCAGGTGTAAATGTAGGATTGAAATAATGGTATTGTTCTCTTGAAAATTTTATTTGATAATTTGTGATGTGATATGCTGTAATCTTGTTTTATCTGAAGGTCAGGTGTGTAAACATTTCAAAATCACTTCTCTATTGATACTTGCAAGATATTAAACTTAATCTATTTTATGTATGTGAGACAATTTTCAAATAACTCATTTATTATTGAAAATTTTTTCAATACATTGAAATTAAATGGATCATTGAAAAATAAGATGTTACTCTAGAAACATTTTAGAGACTATTTTGTGATTTGCAGATATTTTAAGTCTTACAAAATACCCACATTCATTTTCTAAATGATACAGTGGTAATGTATATTGTTATTTAATACCTTTTATGATAACAATATTAAGATTTGATGCCTTTCATAGATACCATATACTTTTGTTTTGATGGATATTTAAATCACATAATATCTTGCAAGAATTGCTGCTAAGAGTAGATAATATATTCAAATTGTATTAAGCAATAATTATACCTATCAGCATTAAGCTTATATTATGTATTTGCTTATTGAATTGGAGTTGCATTTGTTTGCTGATTAGGTCATAGTATCTTGGCATAGTAACTTATTTGGAAATGATTGCACATTGCTGACAGTCACTTGGGTCATAATTAGTTACTTAAATTATTACATATATATATATATATATATAATATATATATATATATTATATATACATATATATATTATATATACATATATATATATTATATATATACATATATATATATTATATATCGATGTATATTATATATATATATATATATATATATATATATATATATGTATGTATATATATACATGGTGTTCCAGAACTCAAGTCAAGCTGAAATAGGGTGGCCATATTGATTGTAATTGTCATGAAAAAAAAAATTAGAATAATTATTATCTCACCTTATTTTCAGTGCAACCTAGAGCTTTTGTGAATGATCATTTTTTAGTTATTGTAGTTAATTTTTATTAATTTTGTTCATTTAAACTTTGGATCCGTAATCGCAAATAACAATTATAGGATCACAGTCAAAATAATTACACAATTGTCCCTGATTTTCAAGAATTAAGATTTTTGTTAAACTATGAATTTAAAATTCTCAAAATTGGCTTTGTCAGGATTATAAAATGTGTGAAATAAATTTTTTTTTTTCAAACTTTTTTCATTACAGTTACTATCAATACTATCACCTTGTTTTGGCTTTTGGCTTGACTCAGTTCTGGGACACCCTGTATATATATATAAGAGAATTACATATATACAACTTTCTTTATTTAAATATTTTTATCAAAACTAGAACTACCTGACCGCTTGTTGACTGTTCTGAAATCAATCTAAATGTCATCTTCCTTAAACATCCAGTAAATTTGTCTGTAACTACTTCTTCAAGTTTATTATTTTTATCATCCTTTACCGAATATAATAAACCTAAAAAATATTATAGATTTCAGTAATATTATTATTAAGATTTGTCAAGGTAAAATTTAGCTAAATTCATCAAATACTTTACTTATAATCATTCAGATTAATAAATCAATTTTTTTTAGTTAATAAAAATATTTAAATAAAGCCGAACCGAGCTGAAACAACCCATCGTTTACATTAACGCTGATTGCTTTTTTTCCTTCTATAATTCTCAAATTTTTAATTAAATTAGTGTACTGTTTAGTTGGAATTTTTTTCTAACAAGTTGCAAGTTTATATTTTGTATATTATTGGTGGCATGATTTGAAAAGCAAGATTCGACATTAAGATAAAAATATTCCATTTCCACCTACACTCAATCTTTCGGAACTAATGTTGTCCCTAATAAGAAACTAAATTCAGGCATATTTTGAAAATATTATATCGCTCTTTTAGCACAAAGTTATGTAGGGAGTGATAGCATTATATTAACATAAATATTGCATACAATATTAAAACACTCCTTGTGTGATAATAATAATCTGATAAACTTATATCAGTTATACACATATTTATAGAAAAAAGTAAAAGTTAGACATTAATTTGTTAAATCAATTCAATATGCATTTATAAATTTTGGTTTATTAGTCCATCAGTTACGAAGTATTTTTGGTACCAACTTCAAATTTGCTGTATTCGTAAAAAAATTATAACTAAAATATTTTTTCTTTGTACACTCCTTGAAATTGTGTTTCATCAATTTATATTATGATTAAAATTAACTAATTTCACATAATAACGATTAAAACAGTTTTACTAACCATTGCCATTCGATATAGTTACAATTCCATATTTACTAACAAATATTAAATAGAATAATACAAATAAAATGTTAACTCGTTAACTTGTCCTCGTAGCATAATTAAATAAAGAAAATTGATTGCAATAGTGATTTAGATGAACTTTCTAATCTATACGTGTGTGTAATGAAATGAATATAAAATTAATTATTACCTTATTTTATAAAAACATATTGGTTATGATCGATGATTTGCTCGCTGGTCATATAATATGTATACAAAATTTTGTATCAGTTTTTTAACAGAGGGATTGGTTCTGTTTCTCAAATCAAATCATAAAACTGTCAGATATTTTGTTTCTAAATGAGGATTGAATTGAAGCAGTAACATTTTGAGCAAACTGCTTAACACTTTTCGAATTGTTACGATTTTAATGATTTAAATCTTGTACATTGATTCATTATGGTATGCAAAATACTAAAACTTAAATGAGATTATATACATATTTTTTATATAATGTTTGTATCATAGCGACTTTATTTTGATATTACTTATTTTTATTCATTTATTATTGCAACATTGGGTTGTAAAGTTACTTGTGATATACTTACAATACTTGTCAAGATAAACGTAATGTTAGATAGAAATAATAAATATTTTGTCATTGTAATATTATAATACAGAAAAATGGTAAAATTTTAATATTTTCAGAAAATTAATTAATTATTCATCCTTATTTTCATCATTGTTTTGTGATTATATTAAATTGTCATGTTTTCTGTCGGAATTAAAATTAATTTTGAATTTTTTTTATTAATGAATTGAAATAAATGATACTCTTGATATTGCAATACGTTTATTTCAATTCAATATTGTGATACAAAAGTTTTAATCAAAACTTTTAATATACCTTTTACATCACACTATTTATATTATTTTAATGTATAAAAAACTTAATACCATGCTCATATATATTTTATTATTAACCTTCATTACATTATTAATTTATTATGCATTGATTTGTTTACCTCGAACATATATAATAATAAAGTTAAATAGAAGATACACACACATCATAATATATGTGTATATAAATATGTATAAAATTTGATCAAGTAAAAATGACGAAAAAATTCCTTTTTCATAATAATATTAAATGACGCAATAATACTATGTGAAAATATTTAAATAATATATCATCAATTGGAAATTTGCAAGCAACACATATAAATCAATTTAAACAAAAAAATCAAATTATTGTAAGTTCTCGCTTCAGAAGTTGAATGTTATATTTTGAAACACAATTCAATATGAGAATAAAAACGAATAAGAAATAAACTAATGCAATGAGCATATAAGTTGCAGCCACTTTGTCATTATTACTTGTTGCATCTTATATATATATATATATATATATATATATATATATATATATATATATTTACATATACGTTATATATGTGCGTGTATGTATTGTTTACGAACAGTTATGAAATTTGGGCTCGAAAGTGCCATATTGAACATTACAAGCAGAGGAAAACATTACATGTATTTAATATGTAAATACTTAACTAAATGTATCTAACACTTTTTGTATTCATTTTTTGCTTCATTTTATGAGATAAAACAAAAGAATTATTGTTGAACACTTGCACTGGTGTGAATATATCAAATTATATATATATATATATATATATATATATATATATATATATATAAATATAAGTTAAACGATTTTAGTTTTAATTCACATATTATTTTAGCCATCATAAGGAACATAGTAAGATAGTAATAAATGCTTACTATTGATAAATAAACTTATACCAAATATATGTACATAACATAATGAGTGTAATTACATATTTATATTAATTTAAATGTATTCTGTGTATGTAATATAGATTATTAAATAATAATAGAATTTTAATAATATATATGTTTTTGTTGACATGACGTTTTATTTTTTATTTTTTTGTTCTTTCATTGTGTAGCTTTTTAGGCTGTCTCGAAGGTTTAAAATTTTTAGATTCAATACAATTTATATTTGTATGAATTCGATTTCGGAATATGTCGGATCATAATGGTTAACGGTACCTGCACATTTTTGTTTGCGTCCGGCTTGGATTCAATCCCCAACTGATAAATACATAAGACAACACTCATTAATTTGTAATATTTGTAATATTATGCCATAATATTTATATATTAAGCCAAGTTGTATTATCCCAAATCTTTAACTTAATAATAATAATTAATAATAATTACTTCTATTCTAACTATTTAGAATTCAATAAAACGCGTTACTAAAATTTCTAAGAATTACATTTTTTCAATAATAATTGCGAACTAATTAAAACTGCGTTACAACTAGTGTTTTATATATATATACACAGACACACACACACACACACACATATATATATATATATATATATATATATATTAGGGTGGTTCTCATTATGGAATAACGTGTTGAAATTTTTTTTTTCGACGATTTTCATTATTGTTTTTTTGACGGTGATACCATAGTCTTATAGATCATACTAAAATATTAAGGCCCTACGACAAGTCGTTTAATTTTAAAAATTCGTCAAAGTTTGAAAATTAGTATCGTTTTTTGGCATTTGTCAAAATTAGACCTTTGATCGACATTTTCTCAAAAACGCCTGAACCGATTTCAGAAATTTAAAAGCCATTTGATGTATCTCAATGAGGACTATCGTTCGCCAGTTTTGTGCGACGATCTGCCAAGCCGTTTCTTTGTAA